GCAGTGATTACTTCGACTCCATTCAACCCATCTTGAATACAACTGATTTTTATCCCCCGATTTACCAGATGCCTTATATGAAACGAGTTTGATCAGTTCAGTCCCATTTCCCAGGTGACAAACGGCCTGTGGCAAAAATTCCCTGTTTAGTGGGTGCTGAGTTTTGTCGGCAGGCTCATGGGAGAGGCCAAAGACTGTGGGAATGGGGAGAGAGGGCTGTAGTAAATTGGCGGGGCAGGGATGAGGAAGAAGCATGTCTGAACGCCCAGCTCGTGTAACAGTCTTTCCATTGACCAGGAATCTGGTTGCTAGGCTGCCGGACCCCTTTTACAAGCAGCAGAGTCATGCTATTGTTTCCTAGATGGTTTCAATTTTATGCAGGAACCTCTTTACATCCTTTCTATATCTTTTAAATATTTTACTAGGCATGTAGTAAAGCGAGGTTTGGAGCACGGCCCCCTGCTCTGCTCAAGTCGGTGAGCAAAACAAAGTCCTTCTACTTTATTCTGCCAAAAAGTGAGTGTTTCAGGGTAGCCCTGTGAGGAGTGGGCTCATGACAGCCTTCCATCTGGGCAAGCAGTGTGCACTGTGAGAGAAGGGGAGCATTGTCCTGCATTTCCCAGGTAGTAATGCAGACCCCACCTCGTTGGTAAGTGCACTCATGAGTGAGGAATAGAGGGGAGGGAAAGGAGGTCAGGCAAAACTTTGTGGGACAGCAGTGCTCCACAGCACCTCAGGCCCTCCATGGGCGTACTCAAGAACTGAGGTCATCAGCCTTTATATTTTGGCGCCTCCAGTAAGCATAAAACAAGCTTAGACATAGTTCAACTTTTGCAGTTCTTCTATCAGCAGGGGCAACCAAAGGAGTTAAATGAGCACCTCTTTAATCTATCTTTATTGCTCCTACTGCTTAGAGAATCCGGTACTTGGGACACTTTATTAATGGAAAAGGATCTTTCTTTTCAAGAACTCACAATCTTAACAATATAGACAGAAAGGTAGCTCAGTGTTTTCTGTAGGACAACTGAAGTAAGGAAAAACTAATAAAAGTAAATTTTTTTAATTCTGTATTTTGACTTTAAAGAGCTTCTCTGACTAATTGCAGTCTTCTGGACTTTTGCAAATAATTTTCATTGTGTTACAAACTGTTGCAATATGCAGTCTTCTCAAGCCTGGATGCTCTTTCTCATCACTCACCAACAAAACAAAACAAAAAAACAACAACAAAAAAAAAGCAGGACTTGAGAAATTATTTGCCTGTGCCAAACATCATGTTCCTTCTACCAAAACAGCTAAAAACTGTTCTCTGGGATTTATACGCCAGTTTACTTGCAGTTTGAAATAGCTTCCTTGTGTTTGTCTCCTAGATTACGATTTATGCAAAACAGCATTGTGCTCTGGGGCAAGAGAGGCACCAGCAGTAGATGTCCATCAGTAGAAACAGCTTGCCAGCAAAGTCCCCTCTTCTTAGCTAGGGACCCCCACTTTGAGCCTCTCATGCCTCTTCACAGGTATGAATATTGAAGCAGCCCCAGCACTCCTCTGCAGGATTATTCTGACTTGTTTTCTGAAAATGGTCTGTTTCCTGCAGATCACTATACATTGGAAGAAAACATCTCTGTCTGACCTCTCTTCTAGTTGTTTCAGGGGAAAATTGGTCATCTGGAGAAATATGAAATCACAAGATACGCAGGGATGCTGTTTCAGCTCCTTCCCTCTACATTATCCTGAGGCTAACTGGAATTCACAAACCCTGAGGCTGATGGATGTTGCCTGGATGTCTCTCTGACCTAGGTCAGCTGCCCTTCAGAATCTCCCTGTGATGGAGCTTGTTTCTGACCAAATAAAAGCAAATTTGTCTCCAGTTTATTATTAGCATTAGGTTCCCTTTTTGGTCCAGTGCTTCCTAGCAACCTGTGTGTCTGTTTGTCATCTGTTTTTCACAAGCTGTTATCACAACTGAAACAAAGTACTCAGTGAATTAACCGATACCCTGGAAAAGATAAGGACAGGAGAAATGGCTGAGCCCAGAAATGGCAAAAGGCAGCCTGCCACATTAATGCCATCCAAATCCCAAGGGCCAGCAGTGTGGGGTACCCAGGAAGGGTACAGGACAGGGCAGCTGACTGTGCCCCTGGGGATGGTGCCACTCAGCCTGATTCTGGGCTGGGTACCCCCTACCAGGGGCTGCAGCCAGGGGTGCTCAGTGCTGACCATCCTACCCTGTTCCCTTGGGTGTGTCACTGCTTCCACTTAGAGATAAAGCAATGAATGGGTTTTTTCTTCAAAGTTCTGAACTGTGCTTGGGCACCTATTTTCCTTCTTGGAGTGTCAGTTTCTCCACTCAGCATCATCCATTCCCTTGGCTCAGCTCCCTCTGGCTTGACTCTCTCTGGCTTTTGGGGGACCCAAACCTGCAGCATCCAGAAGCCTTTCTCAGTTAGCAGGGACATTCTTAGCTGTTTCAGGGACTCTTACTCCTACCCCCTTGTGCTAAAGTTGCTCCATTTTAACAGTGAGTGATGACAGACTAATGAGGCCTGAAGGAAAGTCAGGCAGTGCACAACTGAACAGGGGCTGGGGCACTTGCTGGGCAGAGCAGCTGCCTCCACAGCTATTTCTGTATCAAATAACCATTGCAGGGGCTGGAGTCCAGCCTTTTGCTCTGCCTATTCACAGTGTTAAATCCTGAGCTGTCTCTGTCTGCTCTGCCCAGCCCTGCCAGTGTTTAATTATGCCATCCGGGGCGCAACAGCTCCAACGTGAGAGAATGAACTCATCCTCCTGCCAAACAGGGTCTGAGGTGTGCCTGTTCCTGAGGAAAGAGCTGTATGGGGCATGAAGCTTTGTGTGCACAGAATCAAAATAAAAAGACGTTTCAACATGATTGGTTGTGTCCCTTGGTGCAGAGGGTAGAAGGGAGCTGGTCCCTCATCCCCATCCCTCTGTGTTGGTGCTCCCTTTGCACAGTGCTCTCCCTGAGCATGCCCGTGGCACAGGGCCCCTGCTGGGAAGCACACAGCAGGATACCAAATTAGTTCATTGGGACAGGATGAACCTCATGGCCTCAGAACTGCCTCTTCCTAAAACGGCTTAAAACAACACATCATAAAATCTGGATATTTAGGAATCCCTCCATACTCCCATGCTATCCTACTAGACCTTTTAAAGGCTTTTTCTTCAATATAGAAGTATTGGCCTCATGGTGATGAAGACACTAAGACATCTGTTATTTCTACAGGGATAGAGAAAAGTAATACATTCACAAACCTGTCAAGAACCTGCCTAAAATAACATCTTTCCTGTATTGAGAATGGCACAGTCTTAGGATGTGATGTAGTCTTCTGCCTTTCTTTGGGACTAGCTCACATAATTCACTTAGTTATAATATCCATGAGTGATGAACCTTTCCCAGTCTCATTTTGATATAAGATTAATACCATTCCAATTTGCATTTCGTGTCTTGCAGGCAAGTGCAAAGATTTTACTTCAGGTGACAAAATGTTATACGTAAGGTTATATATATTGGGCTAGTTCTTAATTCGATGGCATGATCTTTGCCAGAAGCTCATTATTTATTTTCATGTTAAACTGTTTTAAATAATAAAATAAAATAAATTAAAGGGTCTTTGCCATTTCCCAAAATTATTTTCTTACTCATTTTGAAATAAAGTCATTTTGTTGAGCTGTGGTGCCTCTGTGGTTCTGGGTAAAGATTTAAGATTTGCTACAGGGATGAACTGAATGCTGTTATGAACGGCATGGAAAAGCATGAAGAGTTGGTCAGTTCATAAATCTTAAACCAGTCATTGCTTACATAGGGGCAGGATTTGTAAAGGATTTTTTCTTAAATGTCTGAACTTTTCCTTAGTGCTTAATTTACTTCCTAAGCTGGGAAGTCAGGAAGGCAGGCAAGAGAAAGCTGCCCATACTCTTTTGCTCCCCCATCCATTTGCACTTGTGGGAAAGATGTTCTCTAGGGAAATCCAGGAGCTCCCCTTTGCCCACCAAAAACCTGTAGGTTTTACAGTCGCTCCCTGGACTAGGGCCTCATAAACATGCCTTGAAACACAAGCAGGTGCCCTGCCCCCATTTTACAGATGGCTTAACAGGTGTTGGCAAGTACCATTAGAAACAGAGCCCTGGCTTAAGTGTTTGTTCACATCATAGCCCTAAAATGCTCCTTATTCATAGCCAGGTGGCCTCACAGAGCTGTCTGGTCATGCCCAGATGTTTGCTTATGCTGGGGGCTTCCACCTGGGGCAGGGAGCTCCAGGCTGCCCTTGGCCACAGGGGCACCCCTGCTCCCAGCCCTGGCTCCAGCAGCACAGCCATCCTCCATGGCTGGGAGGATTTGCTCACACTTTCCTTGTCTGGTTAACTGGGGTCTGCAACATGTCTAGGGTTTTGTTAAAAAAAAAAACAAACCAAAAAAAACAACAACAACAACAACAACAACAACAACAACAACAACAACAAAAACCAAACAAAAAAAACCCAAAAAAAACCAAAAAAACCAAAAAACCAGCAATAAAAATTTATTTTAAAATTTACTTGAAAAGAGTATTTAGTTGCAAATTCAGTTACGGAGTGACTAGGAAGTAGCTGTCTGAGAAATATTAGTTCAGCTTACTTGTGCTGCTTGTTCTCCTCATTTTCTTATTCCTTCAGGGAACAGCATGGGCAGCAACCAAGATTCAGTGTATGAAGAATAATTATGTTCCCTGCCTATCATTGCAACTCAGATAAAAATTCATAATATTCAAATGTAATGCCATGCAGGAACAGAATAATTCATCCCTTAAAGTGCAATATTTGTATTGGACAGATCATGTTTAATCTGAGATCTCCCAAAATTTTTATATTTGCATTGACAGCCTGTCATTTTTAAAATTTATTTTATTTTTGTATGCAGTCTGTACATATGAAATGCCCCTATTTTCCCCAGGTTCCCTTTTGGTTAACAGGGTGACTCATGATAGTGATTTGCAATATTACAGGCAAGAGAGGATGTGATCCACATGCTGAAGACAGAGAAAACCAAACCTGAAGTTTTAGAAGCTCATTATGGGTCTGCAACTCCAGAAAACGTGCTTCGAGTGCTACACAGGGATGCCATCCTTGCCCAAGAGAAGTCTGTAGGGGAAGACGTCTACGAGAAACCGATTTCAGAGGTAACAACTTCTTGATTGACAACATTATGTATGTGCAGGGAGAAGCCTAAGCAAAAGTGAGACTCCATATATTTTGGATGTATGCAAAGCATGCAAGAGGATAGCACAGAATTTGTACACTGAAAATAAAATCTTTTTCACTCATATGCAGAATAATTTTTAAGTGAAGTCAGTGGATTTGAACACAAACCATAAAGAGGTTGTATGCTTCTTAGGGTTGTTAGTGTTAAGCAAGACCAAAATCTTTGGGTGTTAAATTTCTAGTTTTTAAATTATTTTCAATTACAGACTTCAACCTCTACTGCTCACAGCACTGGTAACTGCTCCTTGATTTTCTTGGAACACTGGAACACTGTCATGAGGGTAGTTAAGAAAATAAGACCTTTGGAGATTGACTTTGACCATATTTATGGGATAATAAATCTATATTCATTTTACATCACTTAAACTCTAGGACTGCAAAGTCAGTTCAGACCCTAAAGGAGACTTATAGGACTCCCTACTTTAAAATTTAAGCAATAAATGAATGTCAAGAAGACCTAAGAATTAGAGTAGACCTGAAAATGTCTGAGGCCAGAGTGAATGCCAAAATAAACAGCCATTGCTCCTGTTCATACTTTCATAACAGTCCAGGTCATGGGGAAGGAGCATGCAACAACATAGTTCATCCAATTAGAACATTTAATTTGTTCACCAGCAGTTCTGTCTGCCATGTGATATCTTTGTACTGTGTATTCTCATTGAAGCATCTCCTGGAATTTTTGGGATGTTAGTAAATAAGGAAATCAAACCGTAGTATGTGGGAGCATACATAAAATACTCTCAAACAAGATTAAAAGAGCTTAGCAAAGCTTTTTCCCAAGAAGCTGGTAATTTGACAGGATTTCAATGTAAAACTTTTGTCATGTGCAGATTCACAAGGCTTACATTGAAATAAAATAGAAAAATTAATTGCAAAAATCTGCTCTGAAAAGCTGAACCCAACCTGGCTCTTTTATAAAATGCAATGACTTTTTCACTTCACTATGGTCAGCTTCTGGAGAGCAAACTGCCATGGTCCTCCTGCTCCCTTATTTCTCTCAGTTTACTGAGATGTGCTGTGAAACAACAGCAGCCCAGGGCAGCTGGGGCTGAGGAAGATGAGATTCCCACAGGGTAAGGGTTGGGAGTAGGCAGAGCAACCAGACAAATACCAAGGCTGAGGGCTGCTTCAGCAGGGAGGAGGCTGGAGTTGGTCATCTACACCCAAGAAACAGCAAAAGGAGCAACATGAACAGCCTTGGTGGATTTAGAGTGCCCTGGCAATTTTTTAGACACACCTCCCTGTGTTTAATGTTTGTTTGAATAACAGTTGGCATATTAAATTAAGAAAAACTGCAGAAGACAAAATGGGTAAATGGTTGTGATTAAATAAAGAGTATTTCTGTCAAAAAACAGGCTGAGGGGAAACTCCTGAGGCTCATATTTATCTGTATTTGGTTATGTAAAACTGAATCTGGACAGTATCTAAATAATTTGGATATCTCAGCAGACTTACAGGTATGTTAAAGATGTGTAACTCAAATTTCAGCATTCAGATTACACTTTATGCTCCACATGCAAGTGTCCAGTCCCCATACAGGTGTGTGAATTCAGGCTCCCAGGCTCTGAGTTATGAGCTACAGCTTTTTCCCAGTGAAATGAAGAAAGCGTGCACAGCACCTCACCACAGGGTAAATATAGCACTGCAACAATATTATTTGTTACCCTAAAGCTAAGTGAAATTCTGTCCTTTGTGTATTTGGAAACTGTGCAAATATTTATTGCTAATATGTCATCCAAATAAATCATTACTTTCACGGGACAGTTATTCTTATTTCTAGTTGCTGCTTTATGTAAAACCCAAGACATAAAATTATGGGACTTGCATTTACCAAACACAACATTGTTGGTCAATAAATCAGATGAAGTAAGCAAGGAGACCTTTAAAACAGTCTGTTCTCCTTTCCTACACTCCAGCTGGACAGACTTGAAGAAAAGCAGAAGGAGACGTACCGGCGCATGCTGGAACAGCTCCTGTTGGCAGAGAAGTGCCATCGCCGCACCGTTTACGAGCTAGAGAATGAGAAACAAAAACATACAGACTACATGAACAAGAGCGATGACTTTACCAACCTCTTGGAACAGGAGCGGGAGAGGTGAGTAAAAGACCAACCCCAGTGTCCCAGTGCTTGTCTTTCACCAGTGACAGAGCCAGGTATTTTCTGTGTTTAAATGACATTAAACTTACGCGTAAAACATCTGTAAATGTCAGTCCACTCATGTAATTCGTAAGTACGTTACTGTGCAAGTCTGGAGCTGGAGGAATACCACTGAATGTTCCTGTAGTGTGAGCTTGACTTAAGAAACAAATTTGTTTTGAATTAGTCATGCCCGTTTTGGGTTCACCTCCAGGTAGCTTTTGATCAGATGTTATTTATGTTGGCTAAGTTTGGGACTGGCTTTCTTAGCTAAGCGCCAAGTTTTGTGAAGGACAGAGCACTGTTGTCACAGCAGGAGGGCAAGGCAAGGAAAACCACAACACACATTAGGATACTGGCACACAAGTGGTGGGACTCTGCCATGCCCTTTGCATTTAGGCTTGCAAAGTCACAAACCATTTGCATTCTTTTTCATATTTTGAAGACGCATGCCTCAGGCAAGTTATCTGGAAGAAAATATTATCATGCATTACAAAATGTGCCCAGCCTGTGATGGACTATCTATGATGTTTATCTCACAGTTTCACCCACATTTCTTTTTTATTTTTGAGTATTTATCCTGCTTGTCGGACGACTAATTTGTTCTGTTTCTAAGAAAAGAAAGATTACCTACCTTAGCTGAAGACTGAGCACTCAGTAACACCCTCAGTTTTTCAATAAGAAATTTCTTTTCTTATACCAAACTGCTTGAAATTAATCCATGTTTTGTTTCTTTCTTTAAAAAAAAAGGGCTCTAAGAAAAATACTTAAGGCAAGTTCAAAGAAGAAATGCTTTTGAGGAAACCACAGGCTTGTGGCAGACATTTGCAAAAAGCCAGGAGCAAAACTGTTTAGTGTATTTCCTGAACTCAGTTCAGCGCCAACTTTGAGTAGGTGGCACATGAGCTACAGTGACCATATTTCCTGGTTTAAAAGGTTTTGGTTTTGTTCTGTCTTTGCTTTCCTGGGTTGATTGGCAAACTTTAAAGAAGAAAAAATGCTTCTGCATCTTAGCAAATTGATTCTCACAGTAGAAAAGAAAAAATGTAAAACCCAAGACAAAAAAATATGTTTTAAGAAATAAAAGATGTATTTTCAAGTAAGGAACAGCTTCACATCTGATTCTCATAGAAGACATTTTGTCTCTATGCTGAATATCCATGTATATGTGGACATGCAGCCACTAAAATGCTAAAAAAATGGTATTAAAATACCATTTACATTTGTTCTTACATTGTAATATTCACATTAATTTGACAATTGTTGCCTTCTTATTATTCCGTCTTAATGTGTGAAAGTCACTAAATAGTCTACTATTATGACCTGGGTTGAATTGACTTCCTTTAATGAAGTGATTAAAGAGCTTTTTGTCTTACCACTAAGATATCATGTCTCATATCTGTGGGCATTTTCTCTTACCCTTCCTGCTCTCTCAAACTTCAAATTTTCTACATTCTACAATTATTGGAAAAACAGCAATGAGAAAAGGAAAATTTGAATTTGAATTTCTCTTGAAAGCAGCTCTTTAAGAGCATCTAAATCCACTGGCTTTATTCACCAGTGCCTCTGTACTGGTGGATACAAGGGAATAATTGCAGTGCTGGAGCCCATTTGATTTATGTTGAGTAACACCAGAAATCTGATGTTTGCTATTTAATCCACTTTGTTTGTCTCTGACACTAATTTGTTTCAAGATAGTAGTGACCAAGCAGAGAGAACATGATGTGCAGCTAAACACAGAAAACCAAGATGCATGTACCTCCCTCTTAGGTTCCTCCTCTCAGATCACTTGCAGAGCAGATTGGCAAAACCAGGATGGGCTGGAAACCACACGCTAAGCATCAAGTCTTAATCTCTATTTCTTACCTTTGTTTTCAGAGTGCATATGAAACTGAGGCTGCACCCACATTTTTGTAGATATTAAAAACTAGAAGTAGTATTGTTTGACAGCTATATTCACAAAGAAAGAGAGGGTAATAGGATGCCTTTTTAGGAAAGCCCCAAAGTGGCAATAGATTTTTTCATAAAGAAAGAGTTTGAAGTGGAAAAATTAAGTTGCAACAGATTAAAGCATACAAGGAACTCATACTCACTCTACATATTGGGACAGAGAACTGACCTGCCCAAAGGCATTTTTCAAGGTCCTGCATAGGCATTCTTGTTTTATAAGTATCACTATACATATAATTCATTTTACTGTGGTACTTTGAGAGTTATTTTATTAAGAGCTGAACAGACTTGTAGTCTCCATGAAAATGAAAAGGGACACAGAGTTGAACTTTGCCCGTCAGCCACTCTGCTGCACTCGCAGTTATAATGTTAATGAGACAGGGTGAGCCAGAGGAAGAACAGTGCTGCAGGATGGCCATCTCACAGCAGTCTGCTACAATGGGAGAAGTAATAATTTCTATACTGGCTCTAAGTAATTTCAGCAGTTTCTTTCCTCACAAGGAAGATTTTATCAATCTTCCCTAACCATTGTTGTCTACATCAACTTTCGCAGGCCACGTCTGCTTTTGCTGTCTTGTGAAAGTTTGAACAAAGCAAAAAGGGGATTCTTTAAGAAAGAAATATGCCTCAGTTCTAATGTATGTCTAACACTCTCTTAATGTATTTACTTTGGAATATTTTTTACATGCGCTTTCATACATTATCTCTAATCTATCTACAATAACATGATATGAAAGCAAACAGTTCCAATGAGTAACTAGTTATTAGGCCAGCCTCATACAGGAAGGAAGTAACAGGAAAACATGATTTCTCAAAAATAATGACACATGAAAAGTATGAAAAAGAGAAAATTGTGCACTGGGATATTCAAAATGCAGACAGCTGGGGACGTGGGGGTAAATGGAGAAGGCTGAAGGGCCTCACTGTTGCTGTTGGCTCTGCAAGACCAAGCGCAACTGACCTGAAGCAAGATTGTGAAAAGGTTTGCATGTTACAGGAAGAGAGTAGTGATGACCATTTTCCAGGTGGAGATGAAAGAAATCTGGTACTTTTAGTGGAAGGTGCTTCTACGGACATGGTGGCTGAAGCATTTTGCAAATTTCCCTATAGTATGCTATAATAGTATCTAATGAGGTTTGAAAGTTATGGACAGTATTTTCTATTTTTCTGTGCAAATTTCCCTTTTCAATGCTTGCCTCCCTCTGCTGCTGTTCCTCTAACATCAAGTTGTGCTTGGGTAACTCTGATTCTGGGGAATGCAGAAGCAGACATCTTCCTGGAGCCTCCTGAGGAGGCTGAGGAATATGGAGAGGAGCTGAAGGCCCCCAGGCCCCCTCAGAGACTTGGATGATAGATGGTGGTGTAAGGAGTCTCTAGTCTGAGAGGTGGAGAATGAAGGGTCTGGTCAGAACTGCATTGATGCTGTGGCTTGCAGTGGGCTCTTGGAGAGCAGCAGAGCAGGCATCAGCAACCTCAGGGATAAAATTAGTCTTCCCAGCACAGGCACCCTCATGAACTTCAGCTGTGCTTTGGGGAGGGAGCTGGTGGCGTGACTTTGGGCTGAGCTGGGCACAGCTAAACCAGCTATTGGTACTTCATGACCCCAAAAATTCTTGTATAAAGCAGGCTTAACATGAAATGGTACTTGGCTGTTCTCTGTGCTGCTTAGTCCCAGCCCTCCTGCCTTCCCTTTTAGGGAACTGGGGGCAGGGTGAGGGGGAAATATTTATTTTATCAAATATAAACTTTTTCATTTGATTAGCAGGGCTTCTTTTCCTGGTGGAAAAGGGCAGAGATCTTTGTAATCTCAGCATTTCTTTGACGTTTTGATTTACCTAGGAGATGAGGTTTAAAATGCTGACATTTTTAGAGGTGCTAATCTCTGGAATTTTTTTCTTGTGCCCTTCTTTTAATCCTGTTGGTTGACAGCACATTTTGCTCCTATTAAAAGCACTGGAAAGGTCCCATTGATTTTAAAAGTTCAGAAAGAAGCTTGAGGTGAAGACCACTGAGCCAGTCCTGCCATCCAGAATGGATAGAAGAAATAGCCTGAAAGCCTGCAAAAATGGGAGGAGGAGGGAATTTCTTTTGTATGGATGAGATGTGAGTTGCCAAACAGAGGGTGTGATGTGACAGAAAGGCTCTGTTGGAGCTGTTACAGGGGATCCATCCGTGTACTGCTTTGTGTGTCATTTGGTCATTTCCAGCATGATCCCTGAGACTGCTGACACTCTGTCACCCCACCACACAGTGATCAGGAAATATACACCCAGTATCTCAGCGTTGTCTGTGCTAAAGGATAGAATGTTTTCTTTTAAGACTTTACTGAAGTGATGAGGATTTAATATTGCTTCTTGCTTTCCTCCTGTGCTTCAAATTATTCTTTTAACCACTGCGAGTGTTCTCGGTGCACTGAAGGATTTCACGTTTTCCTCAAGGGCAAGGCTGAAGATTCAGTCTGTACTTCCTAAGCATTGCCCTGCTAAATCTGGTTTTAGTTAAACCCTCTTTTTGAAGTACATGGCCATAATTAGATCTGCCTAGAGGAGACAGCAAGACTGTGACCCCAGCTCTTTCCTCCACAAAGTTCCCTTTCAGCCTTCACGTAAAATTGTCTCCTCTTTGCCTTCCCCATTGCAGCACCCCCAGCAAGGAATGCACTGGCAAGGCCCTCGGAGGTCTGTGATAATACATTCCTCTGGACTTCAGTCATGCTGGCACCGAGATGCTCTTGGCTGCTCTGCTGGTGATGTAATTCTGGGCCCACATCACCTGCAAAGGAAACTGATCAGTGAGCAATAAAGCACACAGCCCTCTTGAAACAAAAATGGGAGTGTTGATGTTAACAAGTTTTCAAACTCCCTTGTCTCCCCTTCTTGCATTTCTGCTTTTATTACCAAAGCTTCCCTTCTCCCTTTTCCCACGAGACGGCAGCACCAAGCCTTCCATTGGGAAGTGCTTGCCTTTTTGTTTCCCTGTATTTTATGGATCCAAACAAGTGTAAAGGC